GTAGGATGCATCCATGCTTGAAGGCTTCATTTTGAATTTTGTATTTTTACTTTTATGTAGCTGATGTAACTATAAATTAGTTAGTCAAATCAACTGTCTCTTCATACAATGATGGCTCATGCTCACTCCTTCAATGTTTACATGCACCTACTTAATATGCAAATGGTAAGAAAAATAATGATTGAAAAATATGTCATCACAAGCAGAGTATAGATTGTTAATATATGTATTAATTAATAAATACTTACTTGTTGATAAACTTAATAAATTCTGTTCATTAGTACGAATACGACCATTAACCAACTGAATATAATGATACTGTGATTGGTATGTAGTGGGTATAGAACTGTGACCAGTCCCTCCTATCATAAATAGGTATTCTGTACCCATAGACTCCATACACACCATACCACCAAGCCCTCTCTTCATTACAGCATCACTGGTTGGTACTATATTACTCCATTCATATGTTAGACTGTTAAATGAGTTGACATCATTATGGTAGCAGTGACCATCTCCACAGGCACCACCAAAAAAGAAGATGTCATTGTTTCTGGTAGTACAAAAGTATCCTATAGCTCCTAGAGGAGGTGACGTTCCTCTGGTCACGTGAGAGGACCAATGACCAGTCCTAAACTCCAGTCTATCAATGGTGGACAAATATTTCCTCTTTTGTGGGGAATCATGAACAAGAGGTAAGTCAGGCCTACCCCCTCCCCACAGGAACACTGATTCTCCTACTACAGGAGCTGAGTGAAACGCTATCCCTCCCAGTTGATAGATACCTGTAAAATACAAACATGATGAGAAAGAGGAGGAAGAAAACAGAAACTCACCTTTAGACATTGTTTGTCAAGAATGTTAATTAACTAGCCACACCCATAATAACAATATTCATTACTCATAATCACCCACACCCATATCATCTTCTAAATCACCCAATACGTACAGGAAATAACGTCATAATAATATTGTAAGACCTATTGAAATATTCGTGAAATATAGTTGTACAACTGCTCGTGAGTGCTTCATGAGGTAGCATAATACTCTATGGTAGTATAGGGTACCCATGGCAACTAGATTCCAGCAACACCACCACACCTTGAAGGCAAGATGGAGGATATCTGTACTGCACCTCTCGGCACCTCCTGGGTCTATACTCCACTACTGTGGCGTCAGCGGCACAGCTACT